CCCCCCCCCAATTGCTATTGATGGGCTCAGTAAGGATGACCTTGTCTTATAGAAGTCATAATCATTCCTCATTTTGCTTATAAAAAACCATTTCCGTGGATATGTTGGCCACAGTGTAAACCCCACAGAGACAATTAAAGCAATTTTTAATTTTTTTTAAAGACTAAGCGTAAGTGACACATCACACATCACATGTATACACATAAATACATGTATATAAAAATGTCAAAAGTAGAACTAAGTGGAAGCAAAGAACAGTGACTCTGTAGTGGGTATCAGGCTGTGCCCTTCATGTTTTCCAACAGGTGAGACAATTATTTAAACTGCATATAAATCAAACTCTACCAGCTCTGCACAAGAAGACATATCCATACACTGAAACTGAGACAGAAACTATCTTTACTTGGTTTAGAAGAAACTGTAAGAAACTGACTATGTCAGAACCAAGTATTCTATTTGTCTTTAGTCACAACCAACAGTATTGTATTTACTGTACTGACAGCTGTGAAACATACAAATTGATTTCATTCATGCTCTTTGACCTACATTAATCAGAGACACACTGTATGCTGTTCCAGTCAGACCACGTGGCTAATGTAACACGTGATGCATTCAGCATTGTGGTTAGATTGGAGCTGAGGTCATGTTCGCTGCAAATGTTATAATTCCTCACAGACGTCTCCTTTAAATTACACCTACTATAAACTAAAGCTGAAAACACAAGATTGTTTCGATGATATATTGAAGTCCAGTGTGCAGATTTGATATTTTGTTCTTTATGCAAGTCAATTAAAATCTTTGGTTTGTGGTCTGACTAGATTAGAAAGATGTCAGTGGTAAGATGTCAGCATTAGCGTGGGTAAATCACAATTAGCCTTTGTTTTTAATAATTTTCTGATGGTTTACATCAATCAAAGAATAACTAATGGATTAACTGCCAGTAAAAATGTTATTGCAACCAGTGAGGATCTAATTTAATCACTTATCAAAAGATCATGTCATAGCATTCATAAAGTCTCATTTGACCTCAGAGGCCTATCTACTATAACCCTAAGATACCGATTTAGTGTTTTTAAAGAAGCTTTTTAAAGAAGATTTCCACTTTTAAAAATGAAAAATTTAAGATAAATCATAGTATTCTTTTACTTTTTCATAAGCATAAAAGTTGAAACATTTCTCAAAAATGTAACAAATACTCTCTGTCACATGCAGACAACTAAAACGTAGATCAGGACTATCATATCTTTTTTTTTGTTTGGTATTTCGCCCCGAAAGTCATTATGTCACTTAACCTCTTCTGCTTTTTTAAGATGGGGGAAGTGAACAGAGCAGCCACCACAGCCTCGCGACAGCTACCACGGCCTCGCGACAAACAACCATAACCTACAGACCAATGCACACAAGAGTCGCTTATGATTCACTAGGTCTGATGTTGTTTATTTGGACTTTTCTTGCATGTGACATGGAAATTTGGTCCTAAATGATACTTCATTAACAATTAGACTGGAGTTTCAGATTGTTAGGACCCTTTACACACACACACACACACACACACACACACACACACACACACACACACACACACACACACACACACACCACATATACATACACACACACACACCAATACCAGTAAACATTAATTTAGTGAACTGCTGAACTGAACTTTTTAAAGCCACAAGACACTAAAGTGTGTTTGCGTGCCCTTTTCATTGTATAACGGGGATTAAATAAGCTAAAAGCTATTTTTTTAACATCAACATTTGACATACAAACATATTTAAATAATGTTTGAGAATAATTTTTTTTATCAATATATTTGCCAAGAAAGTCCTAGTGGGCATCAGTGACTGGGTACTGGTATTGCAAACTATTATAACTGCATAAGATAGTTTCATAGGAGAGGTTATAACTACAGGTGAACATTACACAGTATTAAACACAGAATTCTTTATAGCTATATTGCTTTGG